CAAGCACGCTTTTAGCTCGCTTGATTTCAATGAAGTATAAGGGCAAAGGAAATATCAGGGAGTACATTATGGAAATGTCTCATATTGCTTCAAAGCTTAAGGCACTTAAACTCGATCTTTGTGACGAGTTATTAGTGCATCTGGTTTTGTTGTCTCTTCCTGCACAGTTTAACCAATTTAAGGTCAGTTATAACTGTCAAAAGGAGAAATGGACTCTAAATGAGCTCATTTCATACTGTGTGCAAGAAGAAGACAGGTTGAAGCAAGATAAGACAGAAAGTGCTCATTTGGCCTATGCCTCTAAGGATAAGGGCAAGAAAAGGAAGAATGATAAGGAAGCTGCTAAGGGTCCAGTTGAGAAGAAACAACATAAGGATAATCAGGGTTGTTTCTTCTGTAAGAAGCCTGGACATGTAAAGAAGGACTGTACAAAATATCACGCCTGGCGTGATAATAATGGTACGTTCCTTGCTTTGGTCTATTCTGAGGTTAATTTTGCTTCAGTACCTAGAAACACTTGGTAGTTAGACTCTGGTGCTACTACTCACATAAGTGTTTCTATGCAGGGTTGCCTGAGCTACCGAAAGCCAAGTGATGTTGAAAGACACATCTTTGTGGACGACGGACAATCGGTAGATGTGGAAGCAATTGGGCACTTTAGGTTGTTGTTAGGAACTGGTTATTATTTGGATTTAAAAGATACTTTTGTAGTACCGTCTTTTAGACGGAATTTGGTTTCTGTTTCTGTATTGGACAAATCAGGTTATTCTTGTTCATTTGGAAACAGTCAATTCAGTTTATCTTTTAATTCAAATGTTGTGGGAACCGGTTACTTGAGTATTTATGACAACCTATATTTGCTTGATACAATTGCTTCTTACAATGAATCCTTGCATGTGGAATCACGTGGTACTAAGCGTAAATTAAATAAGGAAAATTCGGCGACATTATGGCATAAGCGCTTAGGTCATATCTCAAAAGGTAGAGTTGAGCGTCTTGTGTCTGATGGCATTTTGGATTCCCTTGATTTTTCGGACTTCGACGTATGTGTTGAATGTATCAAGGGAAAACAGACCAAAGTGAAAAGATTAGGTGCCAACAGATCTTCGGATGTCTTAGAATTGATACATACGGATATTTGTGGGCCATTCCCTACGGAATCCTGGAATGGTCAACAATATTTTATATCATTCATAGACGATTACTCACGTTATGGGTACCTATATCTTATTCATGAAAAATCTGAGTCTCTGGACATGTTCAAAGCCTATAAAGCTGAAGTTGAGAATCAACTCAACAGAAGAATTAAAACCGTCAGATCTGATCGTGGTGGTGAGTACTACGGTAGATATGATGGTTCAGGTGAACAACGTCCAGGACCATTTGCTAGATACCTAGAGGAATGCGGTATCGTCCCACAGTACACCATGCCGGGTTCACCTAGCATGAATGGTGTAGCTGAAAGACGAAACAGGACTCTTAAGGATATGGTAAGAAGTATGATTGCTCATTCTTCTTTACCAGAGTCACTCTGGGGAGAAGCACTTAAGACAGCAGCTTACATTCTGAATAGAGTACCAAGTAAAGCAGTTGCTAAAACACCTTATGAGCTTTGGACTGGTCGAAAGCCCAGTTTAAAGCATTTACATATTTGGGGATGTCCAGCTGAGGCAAGGCCTTATAGGCCAAATGAAAAGAAATTGGACTCCAAAACAGTTAGCAGCTACTTTATTGGATACTCTGAACGCTCTAGGGGCTTTAAGTTTTATGATCCCACTATAAGGAATATTTTTGAGACGGGAACAGCAACATTCTTTGAGGATGTTGAGTTTGGGGGGAGAAATAAGGTTAGAGACATTAGTTTTGAGGAGGAATTGGCTTCAGATCCAATCCATACAGTTACTTTTGACAATATTCAGGTTCCTATACCTGTTGTTGCTCAAGAAGTAAATCCGGAACCTCAAGATGATAATGTTGAACAACTCCCTGTTCCAGAAGAACAAACTCAACAACCTCAAGAACCAGTGCCATTAAGGAGATCCACGAGAGAAAGGAGAAATGCTATTCCGGATGATTATATTGTATTTCTCCAAGAACATGAGGAAAGTAGTGGAATGTTAGAAGATGATCCAATCAACTTCTCTCAGGCCATGAAAAGTTCTAACTCTCAACAGTGGATTGATGCCATGAATGAAGAGTACAAGTCTATGCAAGACAATAAGGTTTGGGAACTTGTCCCATTACCAGAAGGTGCAAAACCAATTGGTTGTAAATGGATTTTTAAAACCAAGCGGGATGCAAATGGTAATGTGGAGAGGTATAAGGCACGTCTTGTGGCTAAAGGCTATACTCAAAAGGAAGGCATTGATTATACAGAGACTTTCTCTCCGGTTTCATCGAAAGACTCTTTCAGAATAATCATGACACTTATTGCTCATTATGACCTTGAGTTACATCAGATGGATGTTAAGACTGCATTTCTCAATGGAGACATTGATGAGATGATTTATATGGTGCAACCAGAAAACTTTGTGTCAGGAGACCCAAAGAATATGGTTTGCAAATTAAGGAAATCCATCTATGGACTCAAGCAAGCTCCTCGTCAATGGTATCATAAGTTTCAACAAATAATTATCTCGTTCGGTTTTGAGATGAACATTGTTGATGACTGTGTATATCACAAGTTCAGTGGGAGTAAGTATATTTTTCTGGTTCTGTATGTCGATGACATCTTGCTTGTCACTAATGATATAGGCATGTTGCACGAAACCAAGAGATTTCTATCAAAGAATTTTGAGATGAAAGATCTTGGGGACGCCTCTTTTATATTAGGGATCCAGATACATCGAGATCGCTCTCGGGGTATTCTTGGATTATCACAAAAGAGCTATATCGATAAGGTACTTAAAAGGTTTGGCATGCAAGATTACAGACCAGGTGACACCTCTGTTGCTAAAGGAGACAAGTTTAGTCTCAATCAGTACCCTAAAGGTAACATTGAAATTCAGGAAATGCAGAAGATTCCTTATGCTTCGGCTGTAAGAAGTCTAATGTATGCCCAGGTATGTACGCGTCCGGATATTACGTACATTATTGGGATGTTAGGCAGATACTTAAGCAACTCCGGTATGGATCATTGGATAGCAGTCAAAAGGGTTATGAGGTATCTTCAGAAAACAAAAGATTACATGCTCACATACAGAAAATCAGAAAAATTAGAAGTCATTGGGTATTCGGATTCTGATTTTGCTGGATGCCAAGATAGCAGAAAGTCTACATCAGGCTACATTTATATGTTAGCAGGAGGAGCTATATCATGAAAAAGTGTCAAACAAACACTAGTAGCTTCCTCCACTATGGCAGCAGAATTTGTAGCTTGCTATGAGGCATTCAATCAGGGAATATGGCTGCGAAATTTTGTCACGGGACTACGCATTTTGAAAAATGTTGAAAGACCACTAAGGTTATATTGTGACAATAAATCTGCAGTAATGTATTCCAATAACAACAGGAGCTCAACTAAGTCAAAACATATTGACATTAAGTTCCTGATTGTGAAAGAAAGGGTACAGAGTGAACAAATATCTATAGAGCACATTGGGACAAACTCCATGATAGCTGATCCTCTTACTAAGGGACTGTCACCTAAGGTCTTTCATGAGCATACTGCTCATATAGGTGTGGTATCATTTGAGGATATTATGTTTTAGTAGGAGTTTGTAATTATGGTGCTTTATGTTTGGTTGTATTGTCTGATCAGAATAAAGTATTCGGTTAAGACACTCTGTTACATTATGTTTGGTTTTGACCTCACTAAGGAGGACCAGTTGAAAATAGACATGTACTGATCACATTGCATGTAATTTTCATGCTGCACATCCATGATTGATCTATGTCGTTTGATTGTATTGGTATATGTGACCATTGATGGGTCGAGTCACGATAAATGTGACGAAGGCCGCTTTGATCCTATATTGATATAGTCAATGGACGAGATTGTTCGGAAATACCTTTTCAGTGATAGTAATTTTTGAGCTCATAAGGTTATACACAATTTAAGGAATCATATGGTGCCCAAGTGGGAGATTGTTGGATTTAATCTAATAAATCTATTTGTGGGCACATATGATTAATCAATGTGTATTGCTATCTTTCAGGATAACCCACTAAAGTGATCAATTAAGTTGGGTTAATGGGTATTTAAATATAATCATGGGGTTATATGTGCAGATACCAGGTTGTAATTGTGATTTATTGAGGGGCTAAATTACAAAAGTACAACATCTATAAATAAGGGGTTATGGTCCCTAACCTAGGGTAAAATTCTCTAATTCTCTACACACCCATCTAGTAAGAGAAATTCGGATTTAGAGAAACCCTAAGGTTAGAAGATCATCAAAAACCCAAATCAAGATTTCTTCTATGGATTCAGGTATAACCTTCCGCCGTTTTAGATTCTTGTTAATCTCTTTGAATTAATCATGGCTATATGGTTTTAGATCTCAAGTTTTGGTTTAGATCTAACAGATCCGCCTTATGTTTCGGTTGCATCCAGCAACGAGGGAGAACAAGGGAAAAGATGAGGATAGAAAAATCACTTGACATATCAAAATTATGGTATTTCACAGCACAGGGGTTAATCAATCAGCAAAAATTATTAGAGTAATAAGTAAAGGGGATTTGAGTAATTACCCCCGATGTACTTAGTATTGAATTTATATTTAAACATATGCAACTTCAAGTTGGAATTTGCTTTTGTTTATTATAATTGAGCTCCAATACGAACATCTCACTATTTAATTTGAGTTGACTCAATTTAATTCCTAACCATAAAACAAGCAGACTCTGATAAACTTCTTGCAAGATGCAGATTCACTTAATACGGCGATTTCAAATTTACATTCTATTTACAATTGCGCCCACTATACACACTAATTATAACTCAACAATGAGAAATTCACACAAAAATTAAAACAAAAATCTTATAAAAAAGAACTCACTGTGCATCTTCTCTAGACTTAAAAGCCTCATGATTAAACTTCACTGTCGGAATCGCCGCAACCTCAACGGGTTCCAACCCATGAATCGTATGCTCTCTCTGCACCCAAATTAAACATCAAATTATCAAAATTACAACTCAAAAATACCCAAAAAAATGAAAGAAAAAATTTAGAAAATTGGGTTACTGGGTCGAGATCCGAGTGGAGCTCGATATCAGAATTAGCAGCCCGAGAGTCCCCAGAGCGGATCCGACCGCAAATCAAACGGGCACAGATGAAGATGATAAAGGTTGCGCTCATCCCAAACCCGATAACAGTGGTCACCAGATTCAATCCCGAGCCCAACATGTCAACCGCCGGCGGCCGACAAAAGAGGAGGTCAACTGGAGTCGGGACCCATTATGACTGTGGGAGGGAGCGCTCGCTTGGTGGTGGTGGGATATTTTTGTTTCATAACTCTTTTTTAATTCCTTTTTTTTGTTTTTTGTTTTCCTTTGTTTTATGTGCCGACTTCATCTTCGTTCGAGGGCTACGAGAAGTATCTGGGCGTACTCGTATGGGCTAAGAGTCCTGGTAAAGGATCAGGGTCATAGAGAGTCACTGAGTTCTCTATGAAAAAACATACGTAAGAAAAGAAAATATTTAGGCATGGAGTGCTGATTCTATCAAAACCCTTTCTACTGTACAAGTTGTCTTGAACCACATATATTATATTATATATACGATATCAAAACCCTTTCTATTGTACAAGTTGTCTTGAACCACATATATTATATTATATATACGAAATTGGCTAACAGTATTATTATTTCATTGTTTCTATAGGTAGGCCAGTCCATCCGGGCCGGCCCGGCCCGGCCCGGCTCGGAAATCCGGACCCGGGCCGGGCAAAACCGGAGCCCGGACCCGGGTACCCCGGGCCGGGTCCGGGCCCGGGCCCGGGCCCAACCGGGCCGGGCTCCGGGTCGGCCCGGATTTTTTTTCAATTTTTTTTCTTTTTTTTTATAAAAAAATGCTAAAAATTAGTTTAAATTTATTATATTTTATATAATTATGTATTAGTATATACTTATAAATTATTATGTAACTATATATTATATACATATATTATATACATATATTATGTAACTATATATTATATACATATATTATATATATTATATATACATATATTATATGTAAATATATTATATATATTTTAACTTGAGAGAGAGAGAGAATCGCATAAGTAGCCATTGCCCGTTGGGCCAATGGGGAAGAAATAGTCGTTGTAATATACTATACTTATATATACTTATAAACTAAGAGAGAGAGTATACACACACATACACACACATATTATACATATATAAGAGAGAGTATACTTATATATACATATATACTAAGAGAGAGAGAGTATATATATATACACACATATATTATACATATATAAGAGTGTATACTTATATAAGAGAGAGTATACATATATAAGAGAGAGTATACTTATATAAGAGGGAGTATACATATATAAGAGAGAGTATACTTATATAAGAGGGAGTATACATATATAAGAGAGAGTATATTTATATATACATATATACTAAGAGAGAGAGTATACACACACATATTATACATATATAAGAGAGTGTATACTTATATATACTTATATAAGAGAGACTATACATATATAAGAGAGAGTATACTTATATATACATATATACTAAGAGAGAGAGAGAATATATATATATATATATATATATATACATATATTATACATATATAAAAATATATTATATATACATATATTATACATATATAATACATATAAAAAATAAAAAATAAAAAATAAAAAATACATATATAATACAAATATTGATATAATACTCCCATAAAAAAATTTTGATATAATACAATTAATGATTTTATATTAATTTGTAGATTGGGTATATTAGTGTTAATATAACTAATATTATAATTGACTCTGTTGATGTCAGTTATCGAACATAAGGTTTATTTAGGGTTTAATATTGGGTTAGCGTCCTCAAGCTTCTTCAGATGGTCGATTCGGGAGCTCGTTGCTTTTTCCTACACATGAAAAACTCGTAAGAGGTTAGAGTTTGGTTCTCCAGTTGTTTCTCCGACGATCAAGTCAGTGTATGAGCTTAAGTTGAAAATTGTGAGATGATGAAGAATATTTCAAAGTTGCATCAAAAGCTTGAGAGTTACCTTGAGATGCATGGCTTCCTTTTATAGTGGATCAGAAGGGCAGACATCTGACAGGTGTCGGCCGTTTGGCGAAGATGAGCCATCTAGTCGTTTATTGTGGAGAAGACAGCAGGTGCTTGGAGCTGATTGGATCCGATGAGTCATAAAAACTATAGGGGCTAGAGCAATGATGACTTTGTCAGAGCAATTAATACGAGCGTAGTTGGCTGTCGACGAGGGTTCGAGAAAACAACCGCCTCTTCAATTGTCTGGTTGAAGGTCGATGAACACCGCCTTTTTAGTCGTCTGTGTAAGTTATCGACTGTAACAACAAGTTGAGTGTGGGTGCTTTGGAGGTGATTTGGTGGATTGACTGACAAGTACCGTCTTTCTAGTCGGCTATGTAAGTTGTCGACCTATCGAGTCGGCCAAGGAAGCAGCTCGAGTTGTTTAGGATCTAAACACGTCTGATTAGGTGGGGGAGAGAGACACATCTTGAACCCTAACTGCAAAGGACACTGATTCTTCATCTTCTTCTCTAATGATCCTTAGAGCAATTCCGATGGTTTCTTCAACAGTTAAAGTTCGACATAACCAGCTGTAAAACTTTCGTTCCAAGGTGACACCACTACAGTTGAGAGCGTTATATGAGAGGTTGACATCCCTTGGTTGTTCATTCTGACGGTGATGGCGAAATCGTAGGCGGTTTTTTACCACGATTCTAGTTGGACTCTACTGTACGTGAAGCATCCGGAATATGATCTATGTCTACCACTGCATGCTTTCCTCCACCGTGTTTTCAAGGCCTTGGGGGTGTCTCCATCACAGATGAAGTCAAATTCGATTGCTACTCTGGTGGGATTCGTCCTCATCTGTTACTGGTTAGGAGTAGAACTAACCCTAAGTTTGCTCGGCCACCTTGTCTGTGTCAAGGTGAATCAGCGTGAGGCCCATTTCTATCTTCAGGTGTTGGGGGATTGTAGGCTATCTAAAAAATTACTACAGATAACTGATCCTCATCATTGTGAAGATAGACAAGAAAGATGGTGGGCTCCAAAATATTCATAAGGATTACAAACTGAAGATCCTTGTAGAACTTAAGAAAAGAGATTACAATTAACAATCTCTTCAAGGCCAAACGCGAAGGTCCACCTTCGCGTTTCTAATTCCAAACACGGAGGTCATTCCCACGTTTCAATAACAAAACGCAAGGTTATTCCTACGTTCCAGACTCAAAACGCAGAGGTCATTCCCGCGTTCCAGACTCCAAACGCAAAGCTCACCATCGTGTTCTCAGCTCCAAACACAGAGCTCACCTCTGCGCTCCATAAGCCAAACGAGAGGCTCGTTTCTAGAATGAGAATTTTGCATTTGACTCATTTAAACGTGTTTGAACGGTTTTAAAACCATTTTGCACGATTTGAGGGGATCAATGCCCCACTAAGGAGTGATTTTAAGGGTTAGTTACACCACTTAATCCCCTATAAATAACTAAAAAATTAGCTTAAAGTGTGGGGGAAGAGATATTTGAGTAATTTTGGATCTAGAGATCGGCAACATCTCTTTGCAGATCTGGATTTTTGGATCTTCGGAAAGATCTTTTGGTAGATCATCATTTTGGCTTAGAATTATCAAGGCTTAGAGATCATTTTGGAGGATCGGATCTTGGAGAGTTTGGAGCATCATCAAGATCCGTTCATGGAGCTTTTTCTTGGCTTTTGAACCATTTCGGTTAGATCAAAAAGAATTAATTTTCTTTCTCAAATTAACTATATACCAAGTTCTCAAACTCGTTCAGAGTTTCTAAACTCATGAGAGTTTTAAACTTGCATTGCAAGTTCTTCCCATCCAGAGGAATCAACCAAGTTCCACGAGGGGAAGTGTTCGGATCGTCAACGGGATACAAGATTCAAGCTCCCATCGACACCAAGAAGAACCCAGATTTAAACAAATGGAAGGATTTTTGTTGATTCCGTCATTCTTTTTTAAATCGGGATACCGATAGAGAAGAGTTGTAATTTCTTTTTCTACATTAGTTAGAGAGAGATTGTAAAGAGAGATTATATTCATTCTTTTCCTAAGTTAGTTAGGGAGATAAATACAGAATTTTATTCTCATTTCTTCTTTAATTTTTCCACAAACAAAAGATAGAGACTCCGTTGGGTAATAGCTTTTTCACCGATGAAGAAGTGATGGCATAATCCGACATCAACCTCGCTAAAACGACGGTCAAAACTCTGATGGTGGAATTCGATCATGACAAGTTTGAGGAGTTCCTCTCCTCCGGATCCTGTAGCCCCAAGGCTATTTACAAGATCCGTAAAATCTTTAAGGAGACCAAAGCTCCAATTGTGGCCGACTCACCGAAGGAAACTCTCTCCCACGGGTTAGACTATTCAAGTAGTCTTTCCTCTAAAGGAGAAGGCTTTAATCTAACTAAACTCGTCAACTGAGTTGAAAGCCCCAAGCCCACGTCTAGGCAAAGGACACTGGGCCACAAGAGACCTATTGCCACGATGATGGATGATGATGTCGCTGAAAAAACCTTAAAACAGGCCAAGAAGAATGTTGCTCGTCGAAGAAGGTCCCAGCAATGGGTACAACTCTGAGAAAGCCGATCCTTTAATCAACACGAGCTTCACGTTCGTGAGCCTAGACGTGACCCTGAGCTCTGCGTTCTACTTTAGAAAGCGAGCCTTACGTTTATGAGCCCAAACATGAGCTTCACGGGAACCAGACCAAACGTGGCCCTCAATGGCGCATTTTATAGCCAAAATGCGGACCTCAAGTTCATGTTGAAAGTGAACTTCAGCTTCGTGTTTCCTAATCAAAATGCGACCCCTGCGTCGTCACTGAAGAACGCAACCCTCGCATTGCCAAACCTAAATGCGGACCTCACGTTTCAAGTGCCAAACGCGACCCTCGCATTACAAGTACTAAACGCGACCCTCGCATTTCATTGATAAAACGCGAACCTCACTTTCCAAGTGCCAAACACAATACATAACCTGATGTATATCATGGACCTTCGGGGCACTATCGCGAACCCCACTAGGGGGTCAGCTACTCCCCCCGCCCCCTGGATCCCTAACTCACTGACCGGTCAGTGAGACCCCCATACTGGGTTATTTGTAGCGCGACTAGACTGATGGGCAAACATAAGAAGTTCACGAATTCAAGGCATATAAACAAGATTCATGTTCACTAGGAGTGAGTTCTACCCAATCACAGGTAGGGGGTTCCAATTCAAACCTCATGTTTAGTGAGTAACTCATCCCGAGCCTCTACAACAAACTTGAGAGAGTTCATATCGATATAAAGACCGATACAACAGGTTGCTCGTTCGTGCCAATGTGAACGACTAATTTCTGCGGTCCTCTCGGGATGTTAATGCTGC